GAGTTACAGATGATCCGAAGATGTCCAACAAGGCCGATTCAAGCCCGGAATGTCCGCTGACATCGAGGACACGTTGGAAGTGGTTGTACGGCGGCGTTGCTGACTGGGCGCAGTTGGGATTTGCGGGCTTCGCGTTTCGCTTTGGCGGCGGCGATGCGGTTGGCTTCGTGGATAGCAGCGCCCGTCTTCACTGTTCTCCTCCATGTCGGACGATCGCGGGCGACCTCTTTCCAGTTGGTCGGGTTGATTTGCAGTAGCTTTAGGGTATCCTTGTATCGACGAATTGGACCTCCTTGACGACGAGAACCCGTCGCGACGTCTCCGTAGAAGAGCCGTTTGGGTAGTCGCTCGTCGTACATGCGCACCAGGTGGCCGTTCCAGCGCAGCTGCATTTGTCTCAACATGGAGTAGATGCTGAGCATTCCCTTTCCTTCCAGCACATCAGTGTCGGGGATGCGATCCTGCCAGTTCAGACGCAGGATGCGACGGGTTGTAGTGGAGAGCGACTCTAATTCGCCGTAAGCCGCGGTCTCTGACGGCGTAGGTGGGCGCGTCAAGGCGATGTCGATATGGAGATCCATCCCGTCACCAGCTGTCCAGCGGCGTGCAGAGACGAACCACGTCACGACGGTGCCGACGCAAGGTTCCATCCGACCTTCCATCCAGCGGAATCCGCAAACAATGTGCACACGGCACAGCGCACAGGGCCCCCTCACCTGGTTTAGCCCGCCGGTGGAGACGGTTGCCCGGGGTGTGGCCGCTGAGCAGAGCCCAGCTACGTGGAGCCACAGGTGAGAGTTGGGTGCTAACAAATGGACGCTAGGCGTAGTCTCACCTGCAAGCAAGTGAGCGACCACTACCACCATCACGTGAACCCACCGCTGACACCCCCTACACCCCTTATGTATACCTAACTGGCTGTAAAAGATCATAGGTTTGCCCGGCAGTTTGAGAAATTCTTAGAACTGGTCGGAATGAGAGCCTGTGCGTTCACATCTTCAAGCTGGCGAGGAAGTTTGTCCGCTCTAGCGTCCGATGGATGGCCTTCTCACAAAAGCCCCCTAGACAGTGGAACGAACTCCCTAACGAGATGGGGCTTTCGGTCGCCACTGGGAAAGATACATGCAGAATTGATGACTATTCGCTCAAAAGCTACTGCGCATCTAGTCGTAGTTATGTCAGTAAAAGCTGTTAACGCATGACCCACACATACCGGTGAAGGCACTTATCTCGAAATTACCACTACGAAATTTAATCCTCTACTTTTTCGGACACAAATAGGGAGTTTAAGTGTAGAGGCCTTATTTTGTAAATAAAGAAAATCAAAAGGACATAAACATTCTTGGGATAAACACCCTTAATTACACAAAGAACGACTTTGGCGCGGAACCAACTCTTAGAGAACAGCTGACTTAGACTATAAATTTGGACAATAAAACGCGTACTGCCGCTTTTATCTTCCAAGCAGTTTTCTAAATGGGCAACCTAATATGTTTTCGAGTTTTTGGCTCCTTGGAGTCGTTCTGGCATTTTGTGCCCTTTGTGTGCTGTCCCGCCGGAAAACTCCATGCCTTAGCTAAACATATCAGTAGCCATGCCCGTGGATGTTACATTAGAATTCCGACTATTAAGAATTGTGCTGCCTCCCACCTAGAGATGTAGAATTACTTTGATCTTTGTGGGAATCCGCTTGCCGAAGTTTATAAATGGAGGTGTTAGTTTTCAGGTTGCATACTACCAACACGGTTCGTGGTTGTGCGCCATATTCGAGATCTTTGCGGCTATGTCTGTGCCTTGCATTGAACCACTGCCTGAAGGCTGGGAAATGCGTCTAGATGATACAACAAAAACATATTACTTCATTAACCATAACACTCGTTCAACCCAATGGCAGCATCCAGTGAGTCGCCTGGTTTACCGTCCCACACTGGGAAGTATTCCACCAGCAAATGGACACATGGGCAAACGAATTACGATTGAGCGGGCCCCAGTTGTAACCAATGTTAGCGAAAGAGTGAATCCGCGCCTAGAGGATGTTACAGTAAGTATCGTGTCATCTCGACGTTCCTTTAGACCTCCACAGCAATTGAGCCATACGCGGAATTTCCACAAATCCATGCCGTAATGATGAAGGCTAAACCATTTACAGAGGAAGTAAATCGGTTTCAAGGTAATCCCGTGCGTTGTCCTTAAATTTCGCCTTTTTCCTCTCTTGTCCCCAACGTATGTCTCGTCCCGTCTCTCCGGAGTCGTTTGCGTAAGGTCCGCGATAATTCAATCATACACCCTGATAGCATTTAGTCGCCCAGGGCTAGATATTTGCTAGCCCGTTCTGTACAGAACTGTAAAACGCTACCTGGAAATTTAGATGATAGACCATGAGGAATGACGCATGCTCGTCCTCTGCTATTATCTTTAGAAACTGAAACCTATTTGTCCGTTATATTTTTATGACTCGATGGTGGCAGGATATCCTACCAATTGATTTCATGCCGGGCGGCATGTGTGTTGCCTCACCAAGAACCATGCCCCTCTGGTTAATGACCACCTGTCTGCCTGTTTTTGTTTCATTTCGAGATGTTTCAAATTTTCGCGCCGTGTGACTATCACACCGGTTTCATTCCCAGCACCTCTGTAAAGGTTCCAGGAAATCAGGGTTTTCGTAAAACCTGTATGTTAATGCAGTAGTTTCCCGCAGAAGTTGTGTGGGCGTCCTTTGCTCGTCCTAGTCGCTGGACTTTCTGTAACTAAACTTTATTAGCTGCCTGAATGGAGGATTGGCTTGCCGTAGTCGGATTATCCTCTCGGAACACTGTAAATGTTACCATTGTTATTACTGTTTTATGCGAGACCCAACTTCTACTAGGCTTGCGAGGCTGAACGACCATAAGGTTAACGTATACGCACACTTCCAATTATTATTAGGATCTTTCATTTGTGTGCCATATTGTTCCCCCAATTTCGCCAAACCCGCAAACATACCTAGCAAATTTCAAATGCCTTAATCTCAAACTCGACGTCTTTGTTAGTGAGTTTGTCTCGTTTTCTTCTTCCGACGAAATTGGACTATTCTGTCTTCGAGCTGGATACGAAGGCACTTCGGCGCGTTCTCCCTTGCCTGTGCTTGGCACGGTCATGCTTATGTTTACTCTAACCGGCCTAGATGGTACGAATTCTAGCTCCGCGTAGGACGATATACTGCGCCAAATATGGAGAGCTCGACCCAGTCTCTTTTTCAACAACAAAGGTCAAATACCGACGACCCGAAACTACCCGCATCTCTTGACAGACGTTGCTGAATCAGGTTTTGGATTGAACTCTTAAAAATGTACAGTTTGTCAGCGATGCCAGACCAAGGGTAGCAATATTGCATCCGTGGAACGAGGACGAAGAACGTATCCAAACCATCTTGGTTGTTTTTCTTAGATGACGTCAGGCGACTCCACGAAGTCAGTGTACTTCGCCCAAAATATGGTTTTCTGGAACGTTGATCGGACATCAGTTTTCCCTCGTTTTCCACGCTCACATCCCGACATCCACAATCGTCCAGGAGCACTAAGCGAGCAAATGCCCGGTACACGCAGATCCTTGTGGTGGTGATGTCGCCTTGGTTCAATTTAACACTTTCCGAGGATTTTCAAGGCTCTGGGAGCAATATCGGTTCGCGAAACTACGTTTCTTTTAACCCACCCACGTGGTAGCAACTTCGTCCCCAGGTGTTCGGGACTGTCTACTTCAAACTGCAGCCACCGTTTCGGAGGCCTGCATTTCTGATCTGAAATGCTACTCGAGCTTACCTTTGTCTTCCAGGCGTCGATAGATCAACCGACTGACACAGCGTGTACATTCCTTCGTGGCACTACGCCGTTGGTCACCGCAACCGAGATGCATCAGCGTAGCGGCGTGTGGGTGCGAATTCGGGACCGTCAGTTCAGTGAATGACCTTCCCAAGGATCTAGTTAGTTGCACAGTTATGCATCATGAGCGACGGGATTCAACCTTCTCCAACAACAGATCGGATATTGAGGTGCTGGACTCGATCACTGATGGTGCAGTAACGGACCTTCGTCACAACGAAGATTTTTTTCCGGCATACTGTATAATGGCGTTTTTCATCACGATGCGACTAAGTCAACAAAGCAGACACTCCTAGGTTGCTTGCAGCCCAATCGAGTCCCAAACGCTCCAGAATGTAAACGTTTGGTTGGTGCATCCATGTCCGTCTCTGATCTTGACCCCATTGACCTTTGCGTTCGAGTCGCGCACACTGAAACTGTTTGAGAATGATAATGACAAACACGCTTACGACAACGTCCATGATAATAATGCAACGAACTTATATCCCTATTTAAAGACGGGTACAAGACGGACCGAGCCCTAGTCACCGGAAATGGGCGCATCTCCTCATACTTGCTCTATAACCTTATGGAGCTAGGGTGTCGGCATAGAACTTATAGACGTCGGCTGGGATGCCGTCCTCTTTGGGCACCTGGTCGCGCGGCCTCAGTATTTCATCAATTACTGTCACAGAACACTACGTAGGCTGGAGGAAGTATAAACTCTGCCGCAGAGAAAAAAAAGCAGATGACAGGTTGGTCATAGAAGTCGAGGGTCTCAGGACGCTCATGTTAGTGCATTACCTCAGTTTAGTCGTCAACAATAAAGCCGCCGTACACATTTCGAACAGCCACTCGGTGCACTGAACACATCATTAACAGAATGCTTAATTTGACAGATTCCGACGTTTGAAGCCTGTCCCGTAGAGTTTCCTCACCCCGACCCACTAGTTTTTTGTCATCTCTAGTTGACTTTGCTGTCATTTCTGGCGTTGACGAAAGGAGTAATTGTTGCCAAAGTTGTTGCCAGCTGTCAAGGCAGACGGCTGTAAGGATCTTGAGCTGATGAATTGTCATAACGTTGCTGCCTCGCGATTTTTAATTCATTATTCACGACCGCTTGCCACCGCCGTCTCATTTGATCCAGACGACAAAGAGAGATCGGAATTCCTGACTTAGAGCATTGACTATTCTGGCTTGTCGTATTGTTTCGATACAAAGCTGTTTTATACGAAAAATTCTGGAATTGGATGACGGGTGAACTCCCAGGAATGTGCGAAAGAGGACATGGTGTGATCTACAAGGGTTGTAAGTTTCGGTACCACACGTTGATCGGCTCTCATGAACCCAGTTAGGAAACTCCGGGCTGTCTAGAACATAGTCGATCTGGCAGCCGTCTGGCCATCGTTTGTACGAATATTTGTAACGATGTGGAAGCACTTGTTAACAATAACCGGCCAGTTCTAGTCAGCAAAACCAAACGTTCTTTCGCCATTGTCACATTGGAAACCAAGCCCCAATCAGCTGTAAAGGTGATTGTTTGGAGGATCGCCCTACAAAGTCTCGCATTCCAGTCCTAGGCAACAGTCAGTAGGTTACGATAAGGACTCTTCTGACTGGTTTCTGCAGTTAAGATTAGGTTGGTCGCTGATGTCGTGTAGACGAGAGGGTCAAATATGTTAGTAAAGTGCACCTTCAGTCGTAAGTATGCGAGCCAGTTATTGATTGGTTTCCACTCAAGCAACAAACGGCTCGCCTGACGCAAGAGGACAATCATACTAGATGGATCGCGTGATCCGCTGTGATAGAGAGCGAAATGGGACTTTGTTGGGAGCCTGAGTCGAGGCTTCAGGCAGAGTAGACATCTGCGTTGTGCTGATAAAGACTGTGTGTCGTAAGATTTCGGGTGCCAAAGTCAAGGAAAGTTTGAAAATTCAAGCATTCAGCACCAACGGCCCGCCCCTTATTAAGAAATCCAATTCAAATATGATTAGCCCGCTACTGCGTCAGAGTTGTGAAGCGCTTCGGTTCCCGTGGATATCGTAGCATGGATTGACATTTTATTCGGATATTCTGACGACATAGAAATTGTAAGTTCAGATTGGTTCCGAACCACCACCCGGATTATTTATTTGAGGTCGCCTCTAGCAACATCGGCAGGTAAACTTATTTAGTAGCGCTTCACGGTCTTCATGTCCCAGTGCCGTCATCCATCTTTACTGTCTTTTATAAGGTAGTCAGCTTGCCAAATCTCAGTCATCGGCAGCCCGGTGGCATTGTGGCTGCCCATTCGTAACTGTCCATTCGTCAGACTCGAGAACCAGTCTGTTTCGTAAGTAACGTTCACTGAATGCTGCTCCACTACTCTCCGTCTGTGGACGCGCCGAGTAACTGGCAGTTAGGTTAGCAAGCGACCCTATCTCCCCCGCGGCCACCAGTTGTCTCCAGCTATCCAATTCTTTGGCTGCTTCGACTTCTGCCCTAGGACGACAATGGGGCGCCCCATCCGTTGGCCATAATTATTGCATCATCGTGATAAGTCTTCTTCTATTATTCGACACATCCTCCCAAAAAACCCATTTGGAAGCGTTCATTTCCAGACCATTGTCGACTGATTCCATGCCTGTGTGGACTGTGACGGACTCCTTTGTCGTAAGAGAGCTCGCTAACGTCATAAAGTTGTTGCTGCAATGAAGAGGCGCAGTACACAGACCAGAATAATCGACGGACGCGTGCCGGAGAGCCCATCTAATTCAACAGAAGTGACGGGGTAACACAGGTCAGGCGGATACCTGAGTTGACCTATCCTTGGTCTGTGGGGGTTGGCTTGAGTGAATCATACTAGCTTTGGAAGCATGCCATGCACTATGATCAACCATGGAAGAGCTAAATAGCTTGAATTAAATGTAGACAAAAAATCTACGAAATAAGCTAGATTAGGCCTAAACCCACGCAAGTTCCCTCTTGGACGTTCTATGTTATCAGCAAAAACGACTGACAGCGATAACTGCGAAGATATTAGCGGTGGTATAAGGTGGGTTTATGTTGTGGTATTTGTTGCACAATGGTCCGTCACATTTCTCAAAGATTGAAGTGACGAATGCGTCACTCCAGCTGATTAATGCGATATCCGTTTTCTAAAACTGAGCCAGTAGGCCGTGTACTCAGTTGACCGACGACGGCAAATAAGCCAAGAGTTGCCCACTTTACCCGGATAATTTTCTCGTCAGTTTAAACATGAAGGATCTAGGCATCTGGGGTGTCGGAAGGGGTTATTAATGATACCCAGCAGTTCGACGTGGCGAAAGCAATATGTAATTTAGCAATCGCACAACGCCCTCCCACTACAAAATGGCTCTGAGCGCTACGAAAGCGCATCGAATCCGGCCAGACGTCTTTATCATGGACGACCTTAACGCACAATTTATTGGCGGGAGTTTAGTATATGTACAGGGGCAGAAACTAGCATTTGGCCAACATGATACTCCAGTTATTCCTCAGTCAGCGTCTTTTGTTTCCGATAAGGGTACGTGAAGGATACCATTAGATTGCGGGGATCTGATGCTCACGAAATCATTGGACAGCATTGATGAGATGAAACGCCTACCTACCCTTGATTGGGACGACCATATCGTACGCCCATGAGATATTCACTCTTTTCGGTGCTCAAAAAAGCTCATTAGAATTTGATGAACGATTTGGCGCGGTGATTTTTTATGAGTTAAGGATCGAACTAAGCAGCATAGACGTTGAATCAGCTTTTTCTGACAACATAACTGAGGATCAGGAATGGTTCACTGAGGTATTGAACATGCTCCTCCGAAACCATCACCCGATTCTATGGGAGAGATTGAGCAACGAGCCACTGTAATTGGCAGAGGCTTAAGTAGGGAAGTAAACAAAAAGCTGAGGCTATGTAGGAGATCCCACACCATGTTCATGGAGGCATACAAGGCGCAGAGAAGCCTAGTCAAACTACTTATCCTCAGAGCATGGCAAGATTTTGGAATAGATCTGAATCATGCAGTGGGGGGCTCAAGGCCACCACGGTTACATAGGATGGAGCAAGAGAAACGGAGATTCTACGCTCCTGCTGAAAACTAATAAATACAAAGATATCAGTGGGGATAAAGCTAAAACATAGCGCATTTTGCCGTTTTTACTTAATAAGCTGAATTTAGTCATCGGCACTACAACTTGGGGGAAGGCCCAACGGTTGGGATTGTATCTTTCACCAAAAATTGTTCGTAAAGAGCTGCTAAAGCTGAATGAGTCAAAACCACCGGGTCTAGATGACATGCCGCCTAAATTACCAAAGAAACTTGCTGCCGAACTAGCTAAACCGCCATTTGTGCATTTTCAAGCCTCGTTCGAAACTGGCTGTCTACCCCTGGTTGGTAATCTGCACGGAGCACCCTGCTATATGATAGCACTTGCAAGGTCTCCACAAACAATTATGTACTAGTTAGTGTCACTTTTATCTGCCGAAAACTAGGGGAAAAGTAATTGGGCGAGTGCTAGCGTGCTTCCTAGAGCAACATAAGCAACCCTCTGTTGCCCAGTATGGTCTCGCCTGACAAGCTTTATTCTTTGGAATGCTCGACTTAAGCAGTTGAAGGGTAGGATACGGTGCACGTAGTCTGCATCAAGTTAAGTTTGTAGAGGAGAGAGCTCGGTGGTGATAATTTGAGAGAGAGCTCACCGGAACAGAGTCAATGTGCTGCTGGCATTTCGGAGGGCTTGGTTAGCTCACCATTGTCAATGGAGAACATCGGACAGGACTTTGAATTATTGGCCGAGTTAATCGGCCTTTATGTGACTGAGTTTCTTCATCTTTCGTTTCCTCAATTATTTGGCAGATGTTTGACTGACTTGGCCACCGTTTGCGTCATATGTCATCACCTTGATGAAGGGTGGCTGTGTCCCTGCTCCACTTCGAGTAGGTTCGTCGTCGGGCCGTGTTTGCTCGATTTTCTTTAATGCGATGTAACCGTCTTGTCCTGGTCTTTGTGTAGGACGGCAAGATCAAGATGCCCTTTGATGGAATCTACGTCTGGATATGACTCCACAACTGTGAGTCGTTATGTATTTGCTGTACTCGCGCCTAAGGTGGTCGATCCGTGAAGTTCAGAAGTATGGTCAGTTTTTCCAATGCCAATTGCAAGCTGAACATTTGAGTCTAACATTGGTGTTGCTATTTTGTGCGTATGTAGGCAGGTCTAAAATTTCCGTTCGGTATCCGCAACATAGTTGCAGTCCTCATCATTGCAACACATTTGATGGATAAATGTCGAGGTTTTGGCGAGTGACAGTGTGTCCTAAATTGAGCTGACCAAACTCTCCAAAACATCAGTATCAGAGTTATTCTGTTCCGCTGAACTTCCAAAATGCACAAAGACTGTTTATATTATGCCACATTAGCATTTCATTTGTAAACTCAGTCGGACGATCTCCCGATGCGGATTTGAGGTTTTATTGGCCGGTTTCAAATTGTTCAGGTTGATGACCAGCAGTTGGCGGAGGTGGCGGTTGGGAGGGATGTTCCAAAAGACTCAGCTTTGGCCTTACTATGTTCATTATGTACGTCGATGACTGCATCATTGCTCAGGAATGCGATGTCGCTGTCCACCGAGGAAATCAAATTTCGAAGCGTCATCTACGACGACACCGATGAAGCGCACTTTCAGGCAGGCTTACACAAACAGACGCATTGATCGAATCACTGGTTCTTACCGTTCAATGTGAATACGTGCAAAATTATGTGAGTGGGCAGAGTCTGATTTTCGAATCACAGGATATGCTGCTACTACCATTGAGCGTGGTGCCACAATACTTTCATCATACTTAGAGGCATTCGTACACAGCAGGCAGTTTGTTCGACCGCAACCCACCCAGCATATTAGACTTGCTGCGGTTGCTGCCACTGTTGCTGTTTCAGGGCCGGTTATTCATTGGAGCAAGTCTGCTAAAGGCCATTTCCATGCCCGCCACTCATTAACGTTATGTGGCTAGCAGGTAAGCCTCATGACTCCAGAGACTCTGTCCTTCCAATACACTCTATGCCAACATTGTCTCAGGGAATATGTCGTCATCTAGAAGAAGCCATCAGTGCACATCGAGTGCATACTTTTCGTCCCCAGTTTAGTGAGCACAATGCCACTGTGTGAGATCCAACGTTCCCCCAGCAATAACTCTAAGGTTATCAGCCCAAAACCAATCTCTTTATGGCTCTTGACAATCTTGAGGTGGGTCGGTTAGAATTATAGAATTCAAGCTAGGTTGGAAGCTCTATATGAGGAGAAGAAGCGCCTTCCGGTTATCAGTCAGTTTGCCTTATAGAGTGCGTATGTATAAGGTTTATTATGAGGGGAAACGTGCTAGCGTTCTCGCAACACGAACTGGCCAATTTTCTTTTGTTGAAGTACTTGTTACTCTTGTAACCGAACTTATTTACCTCCCGCATAGTGTATGGTTTACCGGAAATTGTTGGTTACACGCTGCCCCTGTGTTCAGTAACCGTTCTTCTACCTAGGGCTTTTTCATACTATCCTTACAGTAAATCTGGTTTAGAATGTTAAAGGATCCTTCGTTTGCGAGGTCGGTCGGGAGATGTCAATGAACATACACCTTTTATAGAAAGCGTGACATTTTGCGACTCGAATTTATTACGCTTTTTCCTACATACAGAGTAGTTAGCTTGAACACAGTGACTCTCAGCGGACAATAACGGATGTGCTTTTCGCCATCCTGGCCGGTTAACTTTGTGCTGATTGGTGTGTACTTTGTGTTTTTACTCTGAGATTATCTTCGTCCTGCCTTTACATATGGACTGCATCATCTATCTACTGTTTCTTGTCTTTCAACCCTTTGTCTGATCAAGCTACATCTTCTAATCCAAATCGGTATTTCTAATCGAGACGTCTTTTTTTTCAAGGATCTACGGGTGACAAGGAGTATGTGCGGCTTATGGAGAGTTTAGAATTACTTATCCTTGAATTGGATGGCATTGGCGTTGACGGACAGGAAGATGTGCGGAATGCCCGACGCTCGGCCGTCCGCGAACTTCAGCAAGTTCTTGAAATGCTGGAGTTTCGTGGTTCCATGTCTGGTAATGAGGGTGGCACCAGTAACAATAAAGACGACAGTGAGGGTGACAACATCGGTGGCTACAGCGGCAGCAGCAACAACAACAACAAAGAGGATTCTTGCGCAGACAAGACCAATAACGAGGACATTGAAGACGCGTCTAAAAAGCAAGCATAGCACCACTCGTTTCTTCCTCTCCACCAGGTCACGACTGAATGCGTGCCTCCTCTCTTTACTCCCCTCGCTTACCCCCCCCTCTCCCCTTACTCTTGTCTCTTCTCCATAAGGGTCAGCCTACCGGCCTGGTTTGAGTACATTGTTCCAGCACACGTAAATTTAGCCGGGCTATTGTTTATGGTATGCGGCGGCCTATACTGACGAACTGATTCTGCTTGGCCCTGTCTTTCATGGCGAAGTAAACGTCACTGGATTGTGTGTCTCAATCCACGTGAGCGTACTCGCCACTGTGATTAGATGGACTCGCTTGATTGCCTTTTGCGCCCTCTGGTTGCGCACTGCCGCGTGTCTTCGTGGTTGATAACGCATTTCCCCTTTTGTCGAACTCAGCCACTGGGGGTGAGGCCAGACTCTCTCCACAAGACCCATGGACCTGACTGCATAAAAGTACTTCCATTCATGCTCACACTAACGCACACATGGATCACTTTGATTTATGGCGAATCGGATGTTGTGTACATATAGCCCAAAAATTATTCTACTCTTTTCTTTCTAACTTGTGAAATCGGGTCATTCCAAAAGCAGATCTAAAGCATTTCTGGCAAGGTTGAAGTCGTAAACCAAACGGAATACTTGCTTTTGCATTCCAGGCATTCGCTGGTGACCGACCTTGCTATGTTTTTTTGGGTCGGAAGGACAATTTCGGTAGCAGTCACCTTTTAATGTTCGTGAAACTCGTGAAAATCAGTGCTGACACGGAAGCCGTTTTCCTACAGGAACCTTCGATAAATTACAGCTATTCGAAGATTACGTGAGATGCATTTTATCGGACCCGCGTGCATCCAGCTTCTTCATTTTGATCGGCATGCAGAACTCGAAGGGCGATATACACGTATAGAGGGAGATTTTTTTACATAAGGCTTGAAAACTGCTTCTTGCAAAAGGGACAAGAGAAAATGTCTTTGTTAGATTTGATGTGGGGAGACTGTTAATTGCCATGGGCCCTATTTATTCTAACTAGACTGTTTCGGGGACCAGCTAAGTTAGGCGTTTGAGATGTCAAGCCCGTTCGAATGCAGCTTTCTGAAGTTCGTGTATGCGGCCTTGGGCCGGCGTTCTGCGTGATAATTTATGTACGCATGTGAGTGCGCCGCCTGGGGCCAGCAGTCCTGACTTCACGCGTTCTTCACAAAGTGTGACATGCAGTTGCCTGCCAACTTTTTGAAGTCCTTTTCTAGTCCTTACCCAACTGGAATTTGATCGACGATACTCATTCATCAGTTCCGTTTATCCATTTCATTCGTTGGACTCTCGAACTTGGTGCACGTGGCTTCGACAGTGTAACATTTGATTCAGGACGCCGACTGACCAACCTAGACTATGTTGACGATGTCGCCCTGTTAACTCTAGTCTGTGATAACCCGCAAAGCACCAAATCCCGAATGAATGGGTTTGCTAAACTAGTCGATCTGTCCATGAATGCCGCAGAAGCTAAGGTGCCACTGGACTGTATCTCAGGCGTGGAAACAATACTCGTGCTTAACAACTGTCAGCTGAGGAAGTTGGCAGTTCCAGACATATCGGGAGCAGGTTGCTGTTTGACAGCGCAGTCACTCGAGTCGGTGTGTCTGCTGGGGTATTGCAAGACTTCGGTGTCCACCAACTACCCGAGTTACCACATCGCACACCTGCGTGCACGGGATATACATTCAGTGCTTAGCAATTGTAACCCCTGGATTGTGTGGTTGTGGACCCAGAAACTCCAGTTTTTCGACCACCGTTGCCTGTAAACGATTCTCCGTGTGAAACAGGTTTCTTTCTGTCCAAACTTTTGCGTGGACATACCAGGCCATCCAGTAAAGTCGACCAAAACTATTCGGATCCCCTGTTTGTCATAGGCCCCAGGAATTAAGTGTTACTGTTCCAAGTTGTCCTACGTCTTAGCCGGAAGCATTGCAAATGTCAACTGAAACCATGAGATGACTCAGTCTGTCAAGTACGGCATCTTAATTTACAATAATCGCCCTTCACTTCTACTGGTGTGAGTTGTCGGATCTCACCACAACCGATAACTCGAATGGTCGTGGGTTACGGGGCACTGCGAGCCATCGCTTATATCGGCTTGACCGGACGTGACTAAAACCCTACGAGGTATGGGATGCCCTGCGACCGACTGGCTCGGAAAGGTATCTGCCTCATCATATTCTGAACTTATCAGCGGTCTCGGCTAGTCGCCCTGACTACGGAGCTGACGTGGCAGCCCGACTGGGCAGCGTGATCGAGAGCACGACCTCCGAACGAAACGCCGGGCAGCACGGTCTCATTGTAGTGTGGCGCAGGGCGACACGGTGTCTGCAGTCAACTGTCTTCGCCGTTTTAATCGTCCGATCTTTCCTGTGTCCTGTCGGTTTATGCAACACCTTAGGTGAGTTCCGCTGACCGTCGGCGTCTGTTCAGATGACTGGTCGTTCCAGTGAACCCCATTTTACGGTCTCAACGAAGCAGATCGTCATTTCGGGCTGGTGTATCGACGAGCAGCTGAGATGTACGAAAATCATACAAGGACGTGATTTCAATAGATGCAACTTTGCTAAGGAGGTGTGCGTTCACTGATCCCTGCCGTCAACGCACAGCGGACCCGAACTCCATGACTTTTCACCTGGACGTTTGCTTGGATGTGCTACCTTCAACCAACTACGTGCCACCACGGCGGTTTCCCGTCGTTTCGAGGGTGCTAGTCAGACCTCTGGTTCCGCAGCCAGATGTGTCGAACATGCACTTTATGAAAACCAAGATGGATGTGAAGACGGGTGGATGGGTCAGAGAACCACGTGAGGGTGTGGCTTACGCACCAATGCCTACGACTAGCTTGGCTTACTATGGTTTTGACTGCCAACTCTCGCTCCTTCCTGATGTATAGAAAACCACGCCACGTTTGTTGGCAACAGCTTAACAGTAAATTGTTGGAGATTCGATGTCATCGTCACGGCTAGGGTTCCGAACAGTCTTCAAGGCTTCCTCGAGCCTAGATAGAAGTTCGTGCTCAAACAGCGATAGGTTGAAAACCAAAGCAGGACATTAAATGACTTGATTGTAGCCCAAAAACATGCAGAATTACATCTATAAACCGTCCAAATTTTTCCGATTGGGTCTTTCTGCGTCCCTAGCCAGGGATATTCGGAGAAGACGTACAAAGTTGATGAACGATCATAGTATACCTAGCAGGGGTACTGTTCCAAATGTTTTGTTGGGCAAGGGAATGGTTTATGGCCGATGTGTGTTGAGCAAAATAACTGAACATCTAAGAACTTTATGGTCGGGTGTGGTTATGTAGCCCACCTGAAATAAACTCCAGTCACCTCTAATACGGAACCGGTGGTAATAGACTCTTACAGGTGGAGCCGGGGAACGCACAGGCGACGTGGTCAAGTAGTTGTATGCAAAAGAAAAGCTATTGGGAATGCGCGATTGTACTTTAAATAGTTGAGAAATAGTTGCCTTAACCCCTAATTATAAACCCTTAACCCCAACCCCAACAGTATTGTGTTCATCAGGTAGGGCTACCAAACCGCATCTTACCAAGTTTATGATATCACTAATTTTGATCCTCCATATTGCCATCAATTAAAAGGGACACTTTCTGTCGTTTAATGGTAATGGTAAATGAATTTAATGCCCCTTTGCAGGAATTGTCAAAAAGATATTACGTTGTCATACTTTTACTCCGACGATCACCTTAAAGCATCTTTACTACCCTCACGCAACAGCCACCGCGAGGTCTATTTCTTTCTCTGGCACGTACAAATAAATATCTCCAGCTGTTTTCCTATAGCACGATTGCTCCCTGGAGTAAGTAACCCAGGCCTCAAACTATAGTCTTGCCGTTGTTATGGTGGAGGGGCGCTCGCTGGTCAGGTAAAGGAATGCGCCCATCCCCTTGTGCCTTGGAGGTCGATTTGGAGACCTCGCAGGCAGTCGCATAGCGATTCCGGTCGGTGAACGTTTTTCCGGAATAAGTTTATATTCCCGTTTGCAAACAACAGAACAGCAGGCCCGTGGCTCAGTGGTTAGAGGCGCCGTACACAATTACTTGTACTTGTACCTGATACGGCTGCGATCATGCCTGATCTAGCCGGCCTCGATGATGTCCCGAACTGTACCTCTCCACGCGTGACGATCCGCCGCAGCAGATCTGAACAGCTCAACCCATTCCCTTCGCCAACGACGGAGACCGAATACCGAAGGTCCAAGAACCACCATGTCTTGACAAACTGTGTCGAGCCATGTTTTGAACTGACCCCCTCTTCGACGCCTCCAATGGGGCAACGGTGCCGGATAGAGGGCAGTAACACTGAGCTCCTGAGATGGGCGACGAAGAACAAGTCCGAACCACTTCAGTCGTCTTTCTTGGATGGTCTGGGTTATCCTTGCGATTTTGTCGCAACGAGCGCGGGCTGTCTCATTTGAGACGAAGTCGGTGGACTTCACTCGAAGAATGGTCCTCAAGCAGTGGTGGTCAAATACCTCCAGTCTTCGCTCGTCCTTCACACGCAAAGCCCAGCATTCACAATCGTAGAGAAGGACAGACCGGACAGATGCACGGTACACGCGAATCTTAGTGGCGATGGAGAGGTCAGGTCGGTTCCACAGGCATTTCCGAAGGCTTGAAAAAACCCAACGGACGGCATCGATTCGAGAGACAATGTCGTCCTTACTCTGTCCATTTGGCAGCAGCCTCGCCCCAAGGTATTTAAAACTGTCTACTTCTTCAAGTTGACAGCCATCAATCCCGAGGGGCGCCTTCTCCTGGTCAGGGATGCAGTTTGAGAACACTTTGGTCTTCCCAGCGTTTATGGACAAACCGACCGATTTAGCGACCTCTTTCATCCGTGACACCATAGACTGCAGATCACCAAAACTTGAAGCAAGTAAGGCGATATCATCGGCATAGTCAACATCAGTCAGTCGATGTCCGGGTGCAAACTCAACGCCGTCACTCTCGTGTAGGGCCCTCCCGAGTATCTGTGATGAGGTACCTAACTAATTTGCCTTTGACAATTTAGCCCCATTTCTTTGAGCGCATTGCCTGTTCGAATGTGACGAAAAACGACGCACCTGTACGACCCGCCTTGCTAGCGTGCTCCTCTGTCGTGGTCCGTTGTCAGTTTTCTTAACGTTCAAAATCTCTATATTATTCACTGCTCCGTTTTACTTGCTGCCTTTAAGGCTATGGGCTCGTGAGATATAACTCGTTAGTTCGTGAGAACATTGCTATTTACGTCAGATCCAGTCAGTAGCGTAATTGAACAGTATGGGTGACAGGATACAACCGCGGTAGTTCTCGCATCTCGTCTTATCTCCCTTCTTGAGGATAGGTACAATGATTCCTAAGCCCCAGTCATCAGGAACAACCTCGTCCCTCCACGCTCGTTCAATCACCTCATGGAGCCAGGGCGCCAGAGTGTCGACACAAGACTTGAAGATTTCAGCGGGTATACCGTCCTCTCCGGGTGCCTTATTGCTGCGCAACTTTCGTATGCCATCGGCGACTTCTCCCTCGGAGGGGGAATCGCATGGCACTGCATAGGTAGGAGAGGGAAGAAACTCCGCTGAGGAGGAGAGCAAGGGCGAGGTAGGTTGGGTATCGAAGTTGAGATGGTGCTCAAAGTGCTCACGCCAGCGCTCGACTTTGGCCGAGTTGTCAGCAATAAAGCCGCCGTTCACATCGCGAACAGTCACTCAGTGTACAGGGCTTACCGCTAACTTGGCGAATTAGACGGTAGAGCTTTTGAGTGTCACCAACGTTCGAGGCCAGTTCCATGGAGGTCGCTATTTCAGCCCAATATTGCTTCCGGCCATCCGTGGCCGATTTTGCCGTCATCTTCCGAAGTTGGCGGAAGTAGTCATCGTTACGTGACCTGGCTCTAGCCGTCTGAGCAGACAACTGCAGGGTTCTTCCGCTGATCCAGTCACTGCGGCGTCGCTGGGTGTATCCAAGGATTTTCTCAGCTGCCCCATAGACTGAAGTCTTCAGTGACAACCACTGGTTACTGACTTCTCCGTCGGCCCAGGTTGTAAAACAGGTCCGGATTTCTCTGCTTAGGGTCTCGGCAGTGCTGGCTTGCCGGATTTTCGCGACATCGAGGCGTCGAGGACGTGGTATTTTTGGCGCGGATGAGAGATGAACTTTTAAGCGTGTACGGACGAGAATATGGTCCGACCCATGGGCGTTACCAGTCTCGGCACCACGCATCGATCTGCTATCGTGAACCC